CAAACCAGCTGACCGCTAGCTATGGTGCTGATCAGTAAGTAGTCTGTGCTTTTCTCTCGTCAGTCCGTAACTCAGTCGGTCACCCGTGTGCTGTGCTTGCACATAAACGCGCGCGCGCACACACACACACACACACACACACAGGTTGTCGCGTTAGAGATGACGCGATTCCGATGAGGACTGTCCAAACACCAAATCCGCATATATTCACCCGGGCAATAAGGGGTTAGCACGCTTCCGCGATTCGTGTGCACCCATGTTCGACTGTGGGCTTCGTTGCTCGCGCCTGTGTGCGTGTCAATGTGGTGGACCATCCCCGGGGGAAAAAACCAATTGCATGGCACTGGGCTGTACCAAATGCACGCACCACTGTGTCCGTGCGCAAGCGCGCACGCCCGCGTGTTTGTGCGTCAGCATGACCGTGTACGTGTTGCACACTTGCGTCTCGGATGACAAACCATACGTTGATATGTCGGTAACAGTGACATCATTACTGTTGCCCCAGCTGATGAGTGGGTGCGAAACAGATATTTGTTTTACATTAGCTTCTTTTACTTTTTGTCTTTTCTCATCAGTAGACTGTTTTGCATATATCTAACGAAAGTGATTGTCCGGGTACGAAAAAGACAATTTTCAAGCTTAACGTCCATCGGCGACTTCATGAACCTGGATCACGATGCGCGATGGAATTGTGCGATGGTTGACACAGTACACTGGACAACTGTACTATATTGTTTAGGAATGTTCAGCAGTTCTGTTCGTGGGTTTGCTGACGAACCACAAAGCTGTTTTGAGGGTTCCGTCTCATCGCTCGATTGAGCTTGGGACCAAGCTGGGCCTCTGTATCCAGCTGAATGAGTCGAATCATTTCCCCAATTGAAAAGCAGATATGGTGGAATACGTGTATCAAGTATTCCGTTGACATTAGTCTGTTCTTTCTTGCATAAAAATGCGTTTCAGAACTGTGGAGAAAACTGATCAGGATGGGTGCAGAGAGTTTCAACGGGACAACAATGAGGAGTTGTAAGTTGAGTGCATTCAAAGCGTTCGTTTTTCCAGGTATCCTGGGGGTGTACTAAAATGACACGGTGGTTGGGAGTGCCAATGGAAGCCTTTTCATTGATGGACAAAATATCGGTATCGCTAAGACAGAAAAGTCGAGTATGGCCCCAAGTGATTTCGGGAAGGTTTCGAGATTCTTCAAACTCGAGGAGGTTAAATAGGGATTGTTGCAACAATTGTTATTCAGCAATATCGCAGAGAGCATTTTCAAAACGGAGGATGGGATTGGATGAAAGTGCATCAGAAAATACTTCAGCTACAGTGTAAATGCTCTTGTTGCACCCTACTTCTGAACCATACGAACTTATTCTTTATTTACATTTACTTGGATGTAACCGACTCTAACGTATCCGGATAGCACTCTCAATCTACAAATCGAGGAAGTTATTGTGCAACTTCACATCAACCGAGGAGCAGAAAGAAATTGAAAGTTCCCCTTTCAATATTCCACTGGCAATAAAGCCACCAACTCACTACCGGAGCGAGTGTAGTGCACGCGCAACGGACTTATTGAAACCAGCCATACACCGTAGAGTTGTGTCCCTCAAAAACGTGGGAAAGAATTTATTTTGCAGTGGTTAAAAAATTCTTACTTCACGACGAACACCTTGATGCAACCACATCCACATGGTACAAACTTTTCAAATAGTTACGACACACCAAATAAAAACGGTTACGGTATGGTGAACATTTTGGGTATACCGGTTGAGATACTGCTTTCCGAGCTTGCTCATGGGTGAGCAATTTCATTGACGGAACTTATACATATACGTCACATCAAACAGGTGATGATATGCCAACGAAAGAGTTGGTCACGGTTGGTGTTTCCGGTAAAAATCATCTATTCTATCGCCACTCTCATATTTTGAGTATCTTTTTTCTGATATATAAAAGTAAACTGTATACGAAATGCAATCCATATTGGAGTCACCTTGCGAGATAACAGTAACAAACTCTGTGGTAGCTCGAAAAATGTCATTCATTGGTAACGGATGAACCACTTACGGAGTGAACTCGATAAAATAGCAAAATAAATCAAATAGCAACAATAATTTACTAACTTTATTCATCGAAAGCACTAATACACAATGAAGTTTTGACAAGTCCCGAGTGACCAACACAATGGCTTCCAACATTCTAGAAAAGAACTGAGGTGGTTGATCCGTGATTGCATGATCGAACACTCGCGTTGTAAACCAACGGGTTGATAATTTATACAACTTGATCAAGCTCAATCTGAATCTACATGGTATTATTAGGACCTCTTCCAGACCAGAACCTCGTATTGGTAAGAGGAGAATCTATTTCTTGTTCTATCTTACTGAATCATGGGTTACGCTTGGACTGAATCCACCGTAAATTTGATTGCATGATATTGATAAATTACTTGTGTAATTTCACTCACTTTTTTCTTAAAAGAGAAGCAAAAATTGATTAATTAATCTCATACTACTTAAAGTAGTGTTAGTTACAGGAAAATCAAACCACATCGTGGAAGAAAATGATCGGTTGTAGATCTGGGACAAAAATCTGCTCGTTAAGAGAGACAGAGGAATAATGAAATAAACAAATCGGTGTACAAATTGTTCTGTATTTTTGTAGGTTCCAAGTTTACTATAAATCCAGTTAGGGATAACATTGTTAAAAAGGATATCGGTTGTGTTAAATTGCGCCAAATCTTCCCCATAGGGTCTTTTTAAAACCTAAATAATAAAGATTTTCATTTCAACTGCTACATTAATATCATAAATTTTTCCATGATAAGGTATTCTAGTGCGGCCTAAAAATGAGAACTATCTCGAAGGTCACACAATGTAGGCAAACATATGTTTTGGTGAATTACTTTTCAAGCCTTTCAAACCACTCTCGAAGGCGGTGTGCAAATTCTATAAGGATTCAGGCAACTAGTAACGATATAAACTGAAAGAGGATAAATTACGTTTCAATCTGTTTGAATGGAACGGAAAGACATACGTGTGGTTGAGGTGAAAGCGACTGTGGCTAGCAATTTAATGAGAGGTCACAACTGCATACAGTGGGAGAGAGTTACCTCATTGAAAATTGAACAGTGTCATGATTATACCTTCGCATCGCAAACTCATTATTTTGCCTCGAGGTTGCACGGATAATGTTGTCTAGCCTGGCCACGAGACGTCTGCAAAGAACAGCTCGCGCTCGGAGAACATACCAACACCATCAAAGTGTGTGGTAATTCAATAAGAAATCAATAATTTTAAATACGCGCTGCATCAAACGACAACGTCACTGGATGAGACCGAAAAGTGCAAACGACAAATCGCTTTCCAATAATCATGACGTGCTTGAAATCACGAAAACTGTTCGAATTATAAAACATTGGAATCATGCACAAGAAACACAAGAGACGACTGATCCATAGATCTATGTTGTGATCTCGCCCCTATTGTTTATTTTTATAGTAATCAATCTTTCATATTGAGAGATCTATGGTCAGTCGATAACTGACAACAGGTATGCAGAAGCAGACGTAGTCGGGCTGTTTGTTGGTCTTGGTTCAGACGACACGTGGATCGATGCGATGTGGTCCAGCTAAGCTTGACTGATCTCAGAATAAGTGAAAAGTACGATAACTGGTGGTGGTGGTGTTGATGCTGCAATAGGACACCTGAAGGTATAATGCATGCAGTCAATCAACGAGACGGAAATTGCTGTGGTCCTTGCGAGGGATGAACTTTAGTCAGCTGATCGGTAGTGTCAACGAAATGGATAACCATGTGATTGATGTTTAGGTGGGTATTATATTCGTGATTTGTTCTGAAATATCCAACTTTATTTTCAACATTAATTAGCCAACTGAATGTTCTGTACTCTTCCATATCAAATTCACTCAATCTTACATTGAGTTGCTTAAGTGCACGTTATGCCATGTCCTAGGTTGAAGACGTTTATTAGGCAAAATAAGTCTTTTTGAGGAGCATTGACTCGTTTGGTTCAGGATTCGCTGGTGGAATTCCGGTAGGGTCACAAACTGGGCGCATCACCAAAGAGTCACATCAATGAAAATAATCAAATCTTAGCGATGACTAAAAACGATTAACATCACGGAAGTTACGTGTTTAAGCAAAGCCATCCCGTTTTTAGAGTAACTTGAGTAACTTTATGCTCCTTCCTAAAACCTGCGGGAGTCAAAAACAACAAGAATAAAACATTTTTAGTGGTTCCTTGCACTTATTTGCAAATAAAGATCTGAAAATATATTTCATAA